CTAGTCGTGTCCCCATTTGGGAGACCAAACAAAGTAGTTTCGCTTTCACAATGAAACACAGCGTCACAGACCGCGGCCTTGAGTGAGCAGAGGCCGGCTTGAGTGAATGGTGGCCAGTGAGCTTGAGAACGGTGCGGCGGGCAGGCTTGCGGCAACCACATGTGACGACCCCGGGCTGGACTCTGCTTCGTTGCAACTTTACAGATATTCTTTATGCACCAAGAGCTTGTAACACTTCAAAGAGAAAGGAAAAATTTAAATCGCATCATATGACCCCTTTAAGATCAATCAACAGCAAACTATAAATGTGATTCATTGAGCCTGGAAATCTGTTTATTTACTATTTATTACAAGAATTTACATCTTGTAAGGCTATTCTGTGTGAAAACAGTAAGCTGAGAACCCCACAGAATACAGCTGAGTTTCATTATACGCATGACAATAAAATGTGTTGATGTACAGTGTGGAGTACATCAACAAGGAGACTTTAATAACATCAAGGGAACCAGGAAAACACACGTAGCAGAAAAGGTTGACATAAAAAATACCAAACAAAGGTAGACAGGGCAGACTACACTTTAAATACTGGAGCAAATGAAGATAATTAACAAAACACAGCTGGAGACAAATGATGAACTAATCAGGAAACATAATGGGAACAGGAAGGACCAAATAAGGGCATAAGGAAACACTTGGGAAAACCAGGACATGGAGTACATGGAACAAAGAAACACAAAACAGGTCCATAACCCTGACATAAGCATTGCAATAAATTATAAAATCTGAAGACTGTTTAATATTTCTGTTCAATAAAACCATTCAAGTGTAAATTATATCATAATTTTAATAAAACATACAAAATAAAGTAGAATCTAGCCTATATAGGCCCATACCTTTGGTGCATGACGTCCACCGTAGTGGACAGATATATTTTTTTGCCACAGAAAAAACGTACAAGAAAAATATAGTTAAAATCTGGATGAAAGTATTTCTGGCATCCTATTTAGTTGAAAATTATTTTTTGTACATGTCTGATTTTCTGAAAATAAAAGGATTTAACACTTAGCGCATATGGTAATTGGTGCATCTCCTCTTCCCTCCGCCTTTTTTAATATATTATGCAATATCTCAAAACA